AAGGGCTTCTCGCCCTTTGAAGCCCTTGGGCGCGGTGACAGGCCCAGAAACTTCATTCCCCAGTCTCACTGCGGCAACTTTTTCTCTCGTCCCTACGGGGACGCGGCCTTCGTGTCCCTTTATTTATGCCCGGACGCCAGATCCAGTGGCCGCCCAGCTCCCCGCGCTGCTGTCTGCTCAGCTTTCGGCCCCCCTTGAAGGGCGCCAGGGCGGCCCCTGCCAACCTGTGCCCGAGGCGGGGTGCCTGCGGGTGCCTCCCCAGGTGCTCAGTCGCTCCCCTCCCTCGGGACTGCCCCACAAGGACACCCACAGAGCGGGGTGCCCCAGGGAGAGGGCCCGAGGGGCTGTCCCGAAAGGGGCGTGCATTGCCATCAGGGTTTTTTAGAGAACACTTGCACAGGGCAAAGCCCAGGCGCCCGCGGGGGACTGGGCAGGGGCTTATCCCGCGGCCGCAGCCAGGCCCCAGAACTGAGCGGGCATTATGGCCTCTAATCAGGCCAGGCGCAGGCCGGAGTAGGCTTGCTGGATAAAAAAAACAGAGCAAAACAGAACTGCCTGCTTCCCCGGGAACAGTGGCTTTTTGTGCGTCTGCAGCCAGCCGCTCCTGCCCTCGCCGGGCTGGGGCCTGGGGAAGGTACCGGACCTGAGGCCGGACGGCGTCTCCGCCCTGGGCGCGGGCCCGTGGGGCTTGCCGGACAGAGCTGTGCTCGGGGCCGTGCAGAAGCCTGTGGAACCCCGGCTAGAAAGCCACTTTGAAACCGGGCCCCAGCTTGGCCCGCTCACGGAGAGGCAGAACCCCAGGAGGCAGAACCCCGAGGAGCCCAGGCTGCCGGGCAGGAGGGTGTAGGGCCCCAAAGGGTGACCCCGGGGCACATTTTTCTACTAAAGAAAAGCAAGCTGGGAAAACAAAAAGGGAAAGGGGCGTGTCCCTGCACAGAATGCTTGGTGGTTTTCTGCGGGAGGACACTTGATGCTTTTGTTAGTACGAATCTGCTCACTGAGAATTAGATCCAGAGCAATTACTGCTTTGTTAACTTGGTGGAGGAAAAAGCCTCCGTTTGACAGTGAAAGTTTAGCCGCTGCGGGCAGGTTTGCAGCAGAGGGTGGGCCGGGGCCTGGACGGTCTTGAACCCGGCGACTGACCCTGCAGCTCAGCAGGCATCCAGGAGCCGTCTGGAAACTGACCCCACGAGTTATTAGGTTCCAGCCTTAGACGCCCGGGAACCCCATTGTGCCCCGCCAGAGGTGGTGAGGGGCGCCCCGGCCGGCTGGCGGCCCCCCGCTTCCCCGCCCACCCCGTAACTGGGTGGCATTAGGACGCTGGTTACCCCAGGGTGTTCTTGGGCCACGGGTCTGCCTTTGTGGGCGCAGCCTGGCTTCACAGTGGACTGGGGTGGTTTCTGGGTGTGGGGTGCCTTTACCCCCGGTACTGACAGGTGGATGAGGAGGCCCCGTGTTATCCAGCCCGGGGCCCAGGAGGAGACGCCCTGCCTGTGTGTCCGGTGGCTTTTCTTCTGGGCTTCACTGTTCCCTGAGTCCTTGCAGGACATAAGTTTACGTGGGGAAATGGGGGCCCTCGGGGTGCCATGTGGCCAACGTGGGGCCCGCCGGGCAGGCGCCCGGCCCACTATCAGCCCGAGCAGACGGCGGAGTCTGCTGCACAGAACAGAGCGCGGCCCCCGCGCGGGCGAGGAAGTTCCCGGGCAGCCGGGCGGGCCAGCTGCTGGCTGTGTGTGGCTGGCCCGGGGCGACCCCTGAGCCGCTCGCCGCCCGCAGAGCATGTGGGGCCTGGTGGGAGACCGGAGCCTCTGCAGAGGGGCAGGGAAGAGCACCCCCGGCCCCGAGAAGACCCCTGCCGGCCCCTCCCTCCCCGGTGTCGGGGGAGCCCGGCAAGGCGGCCGGCCGCAGGGCGGTCCGGCCCGGGACTCCACCCAGGGGGTGCTGGCCCCGACCCGGAGTCAGGACGAAGGCCAGCTGCCCGCGGGGTCTGCGCGGTGCCCGGGCCCGCCCGGCCTGGCCTGCATCAGCCTGTCGCGCCCCGGCGGCCTCCTGCCCTGTGAATGTCCCCTCCATCCTCAGCAGCTTTCCCGGCCTCCTCGGAGCGCCCCTGCCTGGAGTCCAGGGCCCTGCCCGGACAGGCCCAGCCTCGCCCTCTCCCTCCAGGGCCCTGGCTGGGCCTGGCTTGGGGGGCGGGGCGCAGCCAGGGCCACCAGCCTCCCCCACCCCCTCCCCTGGGCCTCCAGTGGCGCCCTGGGTGCGGCCTGCCCTCCTGCCTTCCCCACGGCTCCTCAGTGACTGTGGCGGGGGGATCATGGCCCCCCTTGGGGTGCACACGCCCTCGGGGGCACGCGGGGTGATTGTCTCAGCCCAGACCCCCAGTCTCTGGGGCGCTCGAGGGCCTACAGACACCTGCTTGGTGCCGGGCCAAGTAGGGGGACCCGCGTGGGCAGGAGGTGGGGTGTGGTCCCATGGAGGCCCGAGCCCAGCTGGTCAGCAGAGGGGGAGCGGGAGGCGGTCTGCGGTCTGGGGGAAGCGCTCTCGGACGCCGAGTGCCCCTGTCCAGCGCGGGAGTGGCTTCTGGCCGGGAGGACATGTTTATGGCAGGCCGGGCTGGAAGGCTTCTAATTTGGCCTGTGCCCCCAGCCGGCCCTCCGAGGAAAGGCCCGAGGCCACAGCCCCTGGTTGTCAAGGAAACGGGTGGTGACTCACAGGCGGGGGTGGGGGCCGCATCTGTGCGGATGCAGCGCCTGGATCCAGAGAGCAGCCGCCCAGCACCTGGGCGTGGAGGCCGGCCGGCCTGGGGGGGGGGGGCTCAGCCTGGGGCAGCACACTCGGGGCGCTGCGGGAGTGGACACCTCTGGGAGCGGCGGCGGGCAGGTAGCCCACCGCGGTGAGGCCCCCAGATGGACACCGCTGTCCCGCCGCGGCCCTGCTCTCGGAGGTGGGGCTCTGCCC